GATTCCGAACGTCACTGTCCTGCGTCGTTGGGCTACTCCCACGCCCCTTTGAACTGCTCGTTTAGACTGTTCACGTGTCTTAGCGTGCTGGACATTCACCCACGCAAGCGTGGGTGGGACCGGCATCTGTTGGCGCGCTTTTTGGGGTCAACAGATTGGCGCCGTCTGTGGGAAACCATACCATAACCACGAGCAACCTTGTAGTAAAAGCTTGCTGAAAAAACATTTGGGCAACCCCCCTTGAAAAATGATTTGTTCTTAAAAAAGAACAGGAGGAACCCCTACCACTTGGAGAAATCTAAGTTTGATAAAGGAAAAAATGAGTTCTAACGAAAATGCTCCCCCAAGGTGGGTAAGAGAAAATACGAATGTGCCTCCCCAGCCTGCTGCCCCAGCAGCTCGGCAGAGGCTCCACCACCACCAAAGGAGAGGTGGGATGCGTGCGACGGCACGACTATCAAGAGAAATGGCTACTATGGCAGCCAACATGAGGGATATAGCCAACCAAAACTTGGTCATGAGGGAGCTCATGGCCCAGATGCAAGGCCAAGGAGGTTTCCCCATTCCCCCATATGCCCCCCATGGGCACTATCAGCAAGAGGACGAAGTCCAAAGTCATAGGGTTGCCTCGCCAGACTATGACCGAGGTGAAAGCCCATTCGAGAGGGAAGTGGGAGTTGACATTTCCTCCAACTATGCATCTGGCCGACCCTCCGAGGTCCAAATGAGCCCTGATAACTTTCCACCTCCATACGAGCAAGACCCAAGACAGAGGAGAGCAGGAAGTGTTTTTGACAGAATCAGCCTTGCCGAACCAAAACCCAGTCAACAGCAGGCTCAGCAACCTCGCACGAGGCCACAGCCTCCACCTCCGATGCCCCAGCAGCCGGAGAGAAGGCATGAAAATGCCCCCCGCGCTGTCCTACCTAGAAGTAGGCCACAAAGGAGGGAGGAAGAGGCTAGGAACCGGCCCGGACCCTCTCACCAACAACCGAGGTACGAGGCCGAAGACTACGATTCTGATGAGCAACAGAGGTCTTGTGACTTGGACGATGATGATGAGAACCTGCCGTTCTCAAGAGAGCTGAGAAATGCCCAGGTCCCGAGCTACTATGTCATGCTAAAAATACCAAAGTATGACGGGAAAGGTGACCCAGAAAAGCACCTTAACGCTTACAAAACTCACATGAGCCTAAGGGGCGCCATCCCAGCTATGAAGTGCAGAGCATTCCATTTAACCCTCAGTGGAGGGGCTGAAATCTGGTATAGTAGGTTACCATCTGGGAGCATCCGAAGCTGGCCCGAGTTCAAAACTACATTCTTGAAGAGGTTCG